TAAATCTTCACCGTCGCCTACTACTCGCTACCTGACTCTCACAACACACTCCTATGAGGGAGGTCAGCAAGGATCATTAGCCTCCTTGTATGGACAGGGAAAATGAAGCACAGAGACATTAGTGGTCTGATTTGTAAAGGTGCTGAACATTTGACTTAATGGGAGCCGTATGTTTTCAGCATCCCTGAAAATCAGGCTGTAAGTGATTTGCTCGAGGCCACATAGCAAATCATTGTCAAAACCAGGTCCCCGGCCACTAGTTCACACTGCTTCTCTGCCATCCGGGGCTGTTCTGTACGTGTAGTCAAGGCTCAAACTAAGGTCTTGAAAATGGAATCAGTTAATCTTTGACTATTTTCCATGATCTCTCCCTTACTTTGCCCATTGATTCATTGGAGTGGCTGGATTTTTTGGCTTCATCAGTCATATTTTATTTGTTGTTTTAGTTGTGAATGGCATCCCATTGCTCGCAATCATCACTCCAGAAAATAATACACTTAATCAGTAAAAGGGATGCATCTGGCTGGCTGCTTCTCAGGCAAGAGCACAACTTGAGAATTGAACTCCAGTCTGTCCCCTGGGTGCCATTATCTGCCCTAGACTTGTCTTCCTAGAAGCAACTCTACTATCATGTTCCATAGATTTCAGAACCCCAAGTGGTCTCCATGGATCTCAAGGCCCTTCATGCAATTAAAATTTGTCTTGTTACGAAGCAGATGTGCCCATGAACGCCACACCGATCCATTCTTGGGCATCAAAGGATGCAATGGAGCTTAAGGGGGTGTGTTGTAGCAGCAGCGTGGCGGAGGAGATGGCACTTGCTGTGTTTTTATAGGCTGCTTATCTAAACCCATGACTTCTTGGCACCTATGCGCAAGTGAAATGGAGCAACCAAAATTCAAACCGGCGTGATGCCATCCTGACAGATGGGCACATGTGTAGGCAGCCAAGAGACCAGGTATATATAGAGAGCACATTTATTGAGGGCAGGATTCCCAGGCGGGAAAGACTAAACAGCTGTTCATGTGGCGCATATGTGCCTATAGTTAAAGGTATGTTACATGACTGATCACAGTCCAGGCTGCTCTCCCAGCCAATGTATGCAAGTTATCCCTACCATTTCGTCTTGCTAAATCTTATTTACGGGTGTGTAGGAGGCAAAGAGATGAATTCCAACACAACCTTCCTCTCCTTTTCCTTCTTTGTTGGAGGCCTCCAACGTAGCCATTTAAGAAACTAGGCCTAGTCATGCAGCAGAGTTACCCTGACATAAAATTGGAACAACACACCCCTTCACCTTGATTTAGTGATGAATGGAGAGTTTTCTTCCTAATTTAGGATTTAATAGTCTTATTGTTCCCAGTTCCTTTGTACTACTCTCTTTTTACCTACAGATAGGATTCCTGTACCTTCTGTGAGGATATAGGGGTGTGAAAAAGTAATTATTTCCATTGCCCCCCGATAGAATGGCCTCACTAACCTGGGGTGCTCTCTGTCTGTCTTTTCAAGGTGTCGCCATTGGCTAGGGGATGTTCATTTCATCCCTGCTTCCTTTAAATGTCCTTTAGTTCAGGAATGTCTTAGGGTTCTTCTGTTTACTGCCACCACAGCCAAGATTAAACAGCTACAAACTGGATACAGAAGGTCCTGTGGTGACTGGAGATGAAGCTGCTGTAAGCGGCATGTCCCTGTTTGGGAGAGGGACGCTTGTCTGGAGCGGCACCATCTAGAGTTGTGATCTTATCAGATTTCCCATGCCAAGCAGGGCTAAGTCTGGTAGTACTTGGATGGGAAACCTTCAAGGTAAACACAGGCTCCTGTAGGAGGTAGAGATGGTGCTTTAGCAAAGGGCATTATTTCCTCCTTACCATCTTTGCTGGGCTAGGAGACAGTGACCTTTCCTTTCAGCATGAAAAAGGAAAAGCCTGAGAAGAGAGAGAGAGAGAGTGAAATATGCCCAGAAGGCCAGCAAACTTTGGCTTTCTTAGACTGAGTTAGGAAATGAGTTCCAGAGCTGAGGACCTTGCACTGCAAACACTACTTCCTCTAACCCGTAAAGATATGCATCTGAGGACTTTTCTGCTTCAGTATCCCAGCTGATCTCAGTTGATGGGTTAAAGCACAAAGAGAGAGGTAATGATGCCCAGGACCCAAACAATAGATGGCTTTATAGATCAACACCATAACCTTGAATTGCACAGTACAATCACAGAGTACACGTACTCCACGTGCAAAACACTGCTACGAAAATGGGCCAACTACATTTTGCACTAGTTGATGGTCACTGGTCACTGTTTCTAGGTCTGGGTCTCCCAGGTGCAGATCCCCTATTTGGGCAGTGAAACCCTGCAATCCAGCCACCTTGAACACTGGAACAAGTGCTTTAGCCCTCCTGAGCTGCTAAGACACATTCTCCCAGAATCCACCCCGCTGTGGGAGTTCTGGTTTCTCAATTAACCTCAATTAACATAGCAGAAAAGACAGGAACACAGTCTTAACAGAGAAATTTGTTAACCACAGCCACTTTACTCTGAACCAAGCACACTGGAGAGTTACAGATCTTTGTATAGCAAAGAGTCCTGAATGCAGCCCTCAAAATCTGATCTCACCTCTCCGTAAGTCCTGGGTTTAGTCAGTGACAGAGGTGATGCAGCCCTTCCTGCCTTCCTTCCTTCTTAGCTGGATCTTTTGGCATGTCTTTCCTCCTGTGGCCTATGTGCTTCCAATGGAGGAATTCTGGGTTGTAGCCCCTATCCCATCAGCTGCTGTGCAGAGAATCATTCAAAGTCAATAGCTCTTCTGGTAGAAAACACATTGTTCTAGAAGGGAAGAGTCATTCAATTTTGATGGCGCTAGATTGTTCTGTTCCAGCTTCTCAGATGCTCTAATCCACAAAAGAGGCTACAATACATCATCAAGCTCACACTGCATAATGAAGATTACAATGCAAAGTAGAACCCCTGAAACAAAATGGGGTTCACCAAGCAAATTGGAGTTCACTATTACACACAAGACACGCCCTCCCCCAACCTGTCACCAGCTCCACAAGACAAGGAATGGTTAGGAGAAGTTGGAGGAGCACTCTTGGCCACCACTGATAGCTAGACCTCCAGAAACAGCCGTCCTCCTCAGTTTGGTCAAAGGCCTCACCAGGTTTTTATATGGTGAGGGGTCCTTTTAGTCTCATCGAGACAAATAAGTTCCGAAAGCACTTGATGAAGGAGGGTATCATTATCCTCAGGTTACATAGGAGAAAACAGGGAGATGGATGTGACTTGCCCAAGGTCACCCAGTAAGTCAGCATCAGAGCCAAAAATGGAATCCTGACTCCTAGAGCTGTGCCATACCCATTGGACAAAGCACAAACCTGCCTCTCCTACTGTCCTTGTGTATTGTATGGTTTTGAATATGTGTTGTTGCAGAGTCACTGCAGGGTGTCAATCAATAGTACATTTCTATCTGAAGTGCTTACAAGTGGCTTTGATATGTCAATGGGGGGAGGAGGAGGGTCACATGACGGGGCATTAAGAGACACAGGGTCTATTCCTGACGGCGCTGCTAACCTGCTGTGTGATCTTGGACAAATCACTCACTCTCTCTGTGCCTTAATTTCCTCTTCTGTAAATGAGAGACACTGTAATACTGCCTGCCTACCTACCTCACAGGAGCATTTTGTGAGGCTTAATTAATTAATGTCTGTCATACACTCCGGCGGAAGGCACTGTAGAAGCGTGCAGTATCATTACAATTAATTAACACTGGCAAAACACTTTTTACTTGTATGTAATGCCTTTTATCCCAAGAATACTTTACAAACTATGGCCCCGATCCTGCAATCAGATCCATGTGTGTGGATCCCTGAACATTATGACCCTTTATATGGGTGCAGGGATCTACATGTGTAGATCCAGTTGCAGGATAAGATCCCGTATACATATGGCACTGTTGAAATGCACCAACTGCTGGGGTGAAGAGCACAGAGGATTAGTGCACGCCACTGTAAGGCGGGTAGATTTCTATGGCCAAAGATACTGCAGCAAATCCCTTCTTGGATAAAAAGTGCCCTGGGATCTTTCAGAGACCCAGCAATACAATACTGATCTCACTGAGCCAGTGCATATTCCTATTATTAGAGCACATCAAAGTTGACGTGCAAACAGAGTAAAGCAATGGCCCTATATCCTTGCCAGACACAGTGATTGGACTTAAGAGATCTCATCCTGGAGTAAAACTCCACTGACATCCACAGGGACACATCAGCATGAAACCTGTGGGTGTAAATTAAATTGGAATCAGGCCTTCAGGACAAGTGCTTAGATTTTGCTCCTGGCTACAGAGGTGTAAATCCAGAGCATCCGAAGTCCAAAGATGGGGACTGTGTGTGACAAAGATCCAAAATGAGGGACTCCCAAAAAAATGAGCAGTGCAGGAAATGGAAATTGATGTTGGGTCCATTACTTTAGTGCAAATAACTCTGGCTATCCCCTAACTTTTTTTTCTGATGTCAAGAATTGTCAGCAATCAACATGAGAGGGGGACCCCAGCTGGCATGCAGAACACAGGTGACTCTGGAACTGACCTAAGGGCCACTTGGCCGGTTTATGATCCAGAGTGACTCCACTTCAGTCTGGGGGGTTTACACTGCATTGGGGCCAGAAGCAGCATCAGGCCCCAGAATGAGCAACAGATCTGCTGATTGTACCCCCCCCCCCCACAAATGCACGAGGCTCCCACAGGGAAGCAGATCTGGCCGAGCCCTTTTGCAGGAGGGTCCCCACGTCCAGGCCACCCCAATCCCTGAGTCGTATTTACTTCCCTCTCCTTCCACCCCCTCCACCGCGTGAGCCAGGCGCGCTCCGCAGCCTGCTCGTGGCATTGTGGGATGAAACAAGATGTAGGCAGAGAAGAGCGAGAGGAAAACGCTTGTCGCTGTGGGCCGAGGCCGCGGCGCAGCCAATGGCGAGGGCGGCTGGCTGAGCCACTGCAAGGGGAGGGGCGCCTATTTCAGCGCGGGGGAGGCGGCCGGGCGGAGAGCGAGCGCTGGGCAGAGCGGGGCACACGGCGGCAGCGGAGCGGGGGGAAGCGGCCGGCGGAGCGGGTGCGAGAGCGAGTGCGCGGCGGAGGCGCTTCGGGTCCGTTTGCCGGTGACTCCCGCGGGGCAGGTGAGCCGGGCGCGCCGCGGCGGGGGCGGGGGTCTGATGGTGATTATGTTGCCTGGTGCATTCACGAGCAGGGGAGGGGGCGGCTCCCCCCCCCCACTCCCCCGCCCGGGGCTGCAGCTGCCCGGCCGTGGGAAGCGAAGCCGGCTGCAATCGGGGGCTGCACCCCGCTTCCCTTGCCAGCCTCCAGCTGGCGGCTGCACCCGCTTCACCTGGCAGCTCTGCCCCGGGGAGCCGCTCCGGTTCCTCCCACTCCGGCTGCAGCCTCTGAGTGACCCCTTCCCGCAGCCGGAGCCGGCTTGCTGCCCGTTTACATCGGTGCATTGATGGGGCTCCCATGCAGCCCCCCCATGGCTTTTAGCAGGGAACTTGTGTAGCTGCTGCTGCATCCTCGGCCCGGCCTGCCCAGGCCGAGGAACCGCGCTCTCCGAGGCAAGGTCATTCTCCTGATCCGAGCTAGACGCTTCCCCTGGGGGCTCGGGACGTGAAGGTCACACCTCTTCCCCCAGACCTCAGCGTGCCTTGGTCTGCTGGGGACTGCACGGAAAGCTCCTCCCCTGGCACAGCTTACCAGTGGCCAGGAGGAAATCCACTAGGGTGGTGTAGGGACCAATCCTGTGCTAGTAGGAGACGGCTCTGGTCTCTGTTTCAGGAGGAAGAGGGTCAAGAGGAAGGTTCCCTCCCTCCCTTATAGGAAAGGGCAAATGTTCTACCTGCTCTGTGGCATTAATTCTGGTATCCGCTTCTTCCCCAGGAGTTTAAGTGTCAATTTATGCCTGGGCCAGTCTCTCTTGAGGCCTGTTTTGGTGGCTTCTCCCCCTGGGAAATGCAGCAGCCGCCAAGCCTCCTGGGGTAGGGAGTGAGCTGTCTCTGGCCCTTTCTAGGCGGAGGAGAGGTGTCATGGTATTGTTAAGGCCCAGCCCTGTGGCTAGGGGAGGAGCTGTCGCTCTGATCTGCAGGTGGAGTAGTTGTGCTTGGCAATGCCAAGGCGAATGATGTTTGGCCTCTGTGTGCTGCTCCCTTACCTGTTCACGCTTCTACCCTCCCCTTTCCAGATGCCTCACTCAGCTGCTGTCGTGAAAAGGATGCTGTCTCCAGGAGAGAGGGGAGCATGGCTCAAAAGGGGGCGGGTGGGGGAGGGAGAGGACATCTACATACTTAAGCAAAAAGGAGTTGTTTCCTGTTGCACCACTGGCATGACTAGTGCTTGGCAGGCCTGTCTATGCTCCCAAGAATCCCATTCTAAATAAGACCAGGAAGGAAGACCCTTTCTGCAGGTCTCTCACTGAGTGCTGTAATTACAGAGGCCCTCTGAATTGACTCTTCAAGCAGTCACATGTGGCTTGTCCTGGGTGCATTGCTTGGCTGTCTCTCCAGGGCTTTCCTTTGTGGTTGTTGACATACTTGAAGCTCCAAATCTACCCCCTCCTGCTAAACAGTGATTTAAACCCCAATCATCTGGGGGGTGGAAGGCACCTGTGACTGGTTTCCTAAAAACTCTTACAAATGCACGTGCTCTTTCCTGGCATTCTAGATGAATTCCCATCCTCCTCCTTTAATGCTATTAGTATGTGTTAATAATAGCAATGCGCAATTATACATGGTATCTAAAATGTATAAATTAGGGAGCACTATGAGTCTTCAACTGCAGGCAGAATAAAGAATTGAAGTATTGTAGTCATAGGGCTGTTATGTAACTGGATTCTTTCTCTCCCTGGATAGCAGGCTCCTTTAGTTGCTATAACAAAGCTACTCCTTCAGTTTTTCTGGGACTGCTCCAGGAAACAATCATTGTAGCAGACTCTCTCCTTAATGGAGCTAAACATGTATGGGTTTCCTACCTCCATACATATAGTGCTAGCCTAGTAATATAGTTCAAGATTTACTAAGCCTTGTTATGGCACTGTAAACTTAATGTGGCTTTGCAAACCTAATTTGACACATTCTCTGCTGTGAAAAGGCATCCTTAAAACATAAGTAACTTTGTGGTAGTCCTATGGTAAAGCTAAATATGATAATCGGCAACCGGGGGCATCACCTAGACAGCTGCCCTTCGCTAGTGCAGTCCTTCAAATGAAGGCCCTAAACTGGTCAGATATCATGCCTGATTCTCCACTTGTTCCACCAAAATAACAATGGAGAACTGAGTTTGAAGTGGCTGTATGTTGTTCACCGTGCTAGTTGAAATGGGTCATACATCAAAAGTACTAATCAACACAGGTCCACTCTTAGCTCAGGCAAAATTCACAGGTTTGTTGTTAGTGGGCATTTTGGCCGAGTAAGGACTGAAACGTTAAATAGTAACTTTCAGCTGATCTACAAACGGCATATAAAACTAGCTACAACTAGTGGGTGTGCCCCGAGCAGGGGATCTGAGACTTACATATAGGTGACTCATCACTGAGTAGCGTAGAACTCCCTAACTAGTTTTAGCAGAGGGAAGGAGGTTAAACACCCTGTCAGACATGCCACAGTTCAGGCTCTTAAAAGGTCACAGGTAGGCTCTCTTGTCTTGGATGGAAGTATCCTTCCACAGCAGAACTGGCAACCCTAACATCCCAATGTTGCGATGTGCATGAGACCAGCAAAACTGTTTAGGTTTCATTGGTCAAGCTGAGCAAAGTACAAAAGGAATCCATGACACGCTGAGGTAAACTAGATCTGAAACTGCTTCCGTTCTGAACTAGCAAGAACAGCTGAATGTATGACCCTTAACCTTACATTTAAAGGGAATGTACACACTTGAGTGAAATAATAAATGCTTCTGCTACTCTAGCCATTGAACGCAATCACCTACAATCTGTGGAGCCAAACATAGTCTGGGGGCTGCTGTTGCTAGAGCCATATTACTGCTCCACTCCATTGGCTATACCTGCAAGGAAATCCAGCTTTAGCCATTGCTTATTGATTTGTAGGCCTGCTGCTCCTGTAATTTAAAGGAGTAGAAGATCTCTGCATAGGATTTATGGGGTTTTTAAAGCTAAAAATGTATGTACAGGTGGTGATACTTGGCTGTCTCTAGTCTAATCTCCAAGTGGCTTCCTGTACTACAGCATTCCACAACCTAATAGTATATCCTAGGATTACTGTGTAGTGTGCCTACAGCCAGATGTTGGGCAAGACAGGGGTTTGGTGTAACCTGCAATATAAATACAGAACACTGTATCCAGAACTGTTTTACGTTATGTAGACCATGTAGTCTAATGCATGAAAGAACTGTAGCAGAATCCTATGGGCACATCTTAATACTTTATGTTCTGCCTTAGGTTCACAATGTCTGACAGAAAGGCTGTGATCAAGAATGCAGACATGTCTGAGGACATGCAGCAGGATGCTGTAGACTGTGCTACACAGGCAATGGAGAAGTACAACATAGAGAAAGACATTGCAGCATATATAAAGAAGGTATTATGAAGCTGCTATAAAATGGCATAGGGTTGGCTGGGACATGTTGACCATCTTAAGTACTTATTTGACCCTCATCACCATAGTACCGGCGTGGTTCACCACACCCCTGTGAGGTAGGGCAGTGCTCTTATCCCTGTTTCTCCGATGGGAGCTGAGACCGATTCTATGGTGTGGTCAAGATCACACAGGCAGTCTGAAGTAGAGAGACTTGAACTTGGGTTTTCCAAGTTCTCGGCTAGCACCTTAACCAATGGACCATTCTTTCTGGCTAGCCAAGCTAAAAGGACTTGGTTGCTGTTTACCTTAAGTAGCAACTTAATGTATTGTTGCTAGCTCTCTGCAATCTTCTGAAGCTTTGGAAGGCCTGACTTGATTTAAACTCTGTGTGGCTACTGTAGTTAAAACAAAACAAACAAAAACCCAACCCATCTAGTCAAGTGAAATGTACTTGCTTCTGCTTAGCACTTCTAGACCAAATAAACTCCCACTTCCACCCCCACCCCCCCTTTTTCCAGGCTTTTCTACCTGTTGATATATTCTTAACACTGAGTTTTTGAAAGTTCTGAGCACCAGCTCTAATTGAGATGAATGGAGCTGTGGGTGCTCAGCCTGCAGAGATGATGCAACTTAAACACCTCACATCTGTCTGAACCCTTTACCTGGATTTATCTGAGGAACCCTGAAGATTAGAGGACCTGACTGATCAAAGTATCTTAGTTTGTTCACCTTATGTATTTGATGGAATCTTGTGCATAGTTGGTGTCCCCTGTTTGTGTAGGCCCTTCACACAGCAACAAGGGAGAGAGCGAGAGAGAGCACTCGAGGGGCGGGAAACAAGAGGAAAATATTATTATAGAACCAAAACTAGGCAGGGTGGGTTGGGACCCAATGTGGGACCTGAAACTACTTAACTCTGTTCGACTCTAATTCAAGTTGAAATTTGATGGTCTCAACAAGTTGAGAATATCTTTTATATTTTCTTAAATCTGGCCTTTCCAGGTCAAAAAGTGACTAATCCAGAAGGCTCTTGGGACAGTGCAACGAGGGAATGGAATGCAACATAAGAGAACCAAAGCTCAGGAAAGAAAATGGCTTGTTGCGTATTTGCTTCCTTTTCTGATATAAAGGAAATGGCTTACTGCACATTCCCTGCTAATGGAAGAAAGGTTACTTGCAAAGGACTTCAACTGTCTTTTTTGTTGGTGCCTTGCTGCTTTCTGGTGTATAGTCTGAGGCTTTCTCACTTTGATTTTTTCCCTTTAAATCGGGACTGTTGAGTCTGATATTTCCCTAGTTTTGCCTGAGGACTGGGTCATGGGAGATCCATATTAACTGAAGGGATGAGAGCTCTCAATCCTTACCAGAAACCCTTCCCTCCCAATTGCTAAATTGGGATAAACAATTTAACCAATGATACACTACTTCACTTGTTTAGCTTTCGGCTTCATCGATGTCTTCCCCAGGCAGACAATATGTGAATGTTTCTGCTTGTTTACATTAGAAAGTCTCCTCACAAACTCTTCTACTGCTTTATGAAGACTGCCTGAAGCCTGACTTTTTTTTTTTCCCACTTTTCCAAGTGACCTTTAAGATCCGGCGGCTTGCTGGAACACACATTCCAAAATACCGTTTCTGGGGGTTGGCTTGGAATAGGAGGGTTTAAATGGTTTTGTGGAACAACTGGCCTACACATGTGGCTTGAATACCACTGTACCAAGGGGACTTTTAAAATCTGCAGTTGTGGCCTGGAGCTTGTGTATAAATCACTCAAGTACATGGCATGGGACCTCTTCCGCACTCCAGGGCAGCCCTTTTGTCTCGTGCTAATTAGCACGTCAGTAATGTAGTAGTATCTTGCATCCACTTCTGTTGTCTTCAGATTTCCATTGCATTTGTATCTAACAGTAACCAGTTATGAAAGTATATTTCAGACTGTTCTGATGTGGGCTTTCTTGGTCTTAACTACTGTACTCTCTCTCCCTTTTAGGAATTTGACAAGAAATACAACCCTACTTGGCACTGCATTGTTGGCAGAAATTTTGGCAGCTATGTAACACATGAGACAAAGCACTTCATCTATTTTTACTTGGGTCAGGTTGCAATTCTGCTGTTCAAGTCTGGATAGGAAGTCGGAGCAAGTGAAATTTGGACTGTAATGCACTGATGGCTGAAGCCAAGATTCCCTTTAACATGGCTGTGCCGCTGCATGGACTGTATACTATATTTAATGTGTATATGTTGCAGTAAAATCTACTTCTGTTTAGTTGCCTGGGAAGAAGGCGGCATTTTTTTTGTTACTGCTTTTTTTTTTTCTTTCTTTTTGGTTGTATTGCACTAGGAAAACTGTAAATGCTTAAACAATGGCCTTTCAATGGGAAGAAATAAAACTGTTCCACAAACAGCTCCCCCAGTGGTAACCTTTTCTTTGGCAAGGCGGGGAAAACACTTTTTTTTGTTTAGCAGACCAAAAAGATCTTATTGAGTTCATAGTAAATACTCTTGTTAGACTGTTTAAACTTCTGTGTGTGTATCAATGGAGGAACGTCAACTTTCCTTTTCAGTTTTAGTCTGTGGGGTGGATGTGGGAGCTGTGTCAATTTGGCTTTGCTGGTCATCTCAGCAGTTGGTGGGGAGAAAGGCCTTATAATGCCCTTGTAAGTTAGCCGGGAGGTTTTTTAACAAGGTTTTCATTCAAAAAGTGTATTCCTATCTTGGGACTGCATGGCAAATCATACAGCTGGGCCTTGATGTTTTCTCTAGAAATGCCCACACCACTGCCCTCAGATCAGCCTACATGGATCAACTAAACTCACAGCAACTTAATCTAGTCTGAAACTTTTTAAATGTCCCCCCTAAATTATTACTTTTTGTAGGAGGAAGGATCTCCTGGCCTCAGTTGGTTTGTGGTGGGGTGATCCAGAGCTTAGTTGCTGCCACTGAGACTAACTTTCTTAGGCCATCTGGTCTCTGTTCCAAAATGGACTAGAAAATTTTAAATGTAGTGATTGACACCAGAATCTGAAAGACTTGATTTGGCATGTCTTTATCCAGACAACACTGCCTTAGCTCGGGTCTTTCCCTAAAGTAACCTAGTCATCTGGAAGACTTGCAGATGGCCACTGTTGTCTCCAGCAGCTACAGTGAAAATCCTCCAGGAATAGCTTCTGTGTTCCAAATCTCTCTCCTCTCTTAGCAGAAGCTGTTTTGTGAGGGGACACTTGTGAACATAGTCTCTGAAGACAGAATGTCGTTCTCTCCAATAGGGTCAGCAGTGTTTTCTTAGTGTGTAGTAACTTCTAGTTCAAACTGCAAGAAGGTTCTTCTGGATCATCCTAGGGTGGTGTCCCCTCCCCTTCAATCCCCCCTCCCCCCAAAAATAAATAACCCTCCAAAAACACCTGTGGTGGCTTCTGCAAAACTTGGTGCTTGCAGTAAGAGCCTATTGATCGGTGGTTAATATGGGCAGAATTTCTAGAATGGAGTGAATTCTGTTCTAGGGCAAGGTGACTCCTAACTCTCAAGATGAACCAGGTTGATGGTTGAAAATAACATGCCACTGCTTTTTGTTTGCTGTACTGGGAGAGGGGAGAAAGTGTTACTATTAATTGTGAAATGACTGAATGACCCAGGCTGACTTTTTCCTGAAGTAAAAGTCCTTGTGTCTGTAGACTGTGCAAAATCCAAAGTATACCTAACTTTGTAATATTGATAGAACCATGTTGTAACTAGACAAGATGTGGTGTCATAATTTATTTCATGTTGACAAAAAACTTCCAATCTGGGGGTAAGGTGCCTTGGACTAACCAGGGCACTTTGGTGACTTTTGTCTATACAGAACTCCACTTTTGATCTAAAAAAGGAGAATGTGTGTTTGTTTTCCAAGCATGAGTCTGATGTGAACCTGTTCACACTCTTCTGTGGAGCAAGAGATGTTCCCTTCATAACTGCAATTGCTCAAATACCTTTTTATTTTTCAAACATTAAAGGTGAATTGACACATTTAAAAAGCTTCTAGTTTCTTTTCATACCAGACTTACAAATCCAAATTGGCTATGTTATTTGTAACATTTAATGTTAACTGTTTCTCCATATCTACTGAACTCTGTAGATCCGGCAACACTTAATACTGTCTGCATGGTTGAGTCTCCAGCTCATCAAATTAGCTACTGACCTTAAGATGTTGCTTTCTGAAGTGAGTTTATACCCTCTTCCAGAATGTCACTTGACTAGGCCTGAGCTGACCTCATTAGGCTGAGGGTCCTAACTGGATGCTGGCTGTCATTGGTATTCCAGACATGCTAGCTGTCAAATCACTTCATGAGAATCCTAAACAGCTCTGCTGCAGACTACATGGATGTAGCAACTAAAGCTTTCATTAGCTACTACAACTGGTCAAGCCTTTTGGAGCATTAACCCTTCCACACTAGTCCTGGCTCCTTCTTGGGTTTGCTTGTTAGATAAATAGGGTCTAAAGGACCATTGAACTTCCCCCTTTTTCTGTGCTGCCTCCTATGTCCAAAAAGGTAATCCAAGTAGTGAGAGGTGTTAGACTTCTGAATTTTAAAGATTTAATGAGCTGTCTTGTAACTTAAAGCCAGTGGTTGCCTGGAGGAATTTTGGTTTTTTTTTTTAAAAAGCCATCCACATTAAGAGGGGGAGGGAAAACACTTAATATTCTTAAGTTGCTTTTAAATATGGCTCTTACGCCTTGCACTTCTATCAGCATGATTCTATACTGGAGCTTCTGGCCCTCTTGCTGTGGGGGATCCATCTTCACGGACTCATAGGCAAACATTACTTTCTTATGGAAGAAATTGCTGTATCTTATGCCCTGGAAATAAGGAGAAGCAGTACTCTATGGAGCACCTGTAGTCTGTAGACTTCAGTGTGAAAAGTTCTTCCCTTCCCAAACTAGTGTAGAACAGCTCTAAATGCACTGAGATAGAGAACTCTTGACTACTGCAAGGGTGTGACTACTCCAGCAATCGATCTTGCTTGTCACAAGGTGGGATGCTCACTTGAGGCAGCTAGAAGTCATTCTCTCTCTCTCTCTCTCTCTCTCTCTCCCTTCTACATGTGCTGCTCATCTTGGAATGGCCTAAATGAACCTTCCCAGGTGGAATGATGGTCCTGTGCAGGGAAGTGCAGCCATGTGAATCTGGACACCTGTGTTACAGAGCCTGCCCAATCACAAACTTCCAACATAACTTTAAGATAAACAGTTTCTTCCTTTTGCAACTGAGGGGTAGAATACTGAGGCTGTCAGGGCTGCTGGGAGATTCACTAATGCTGGGTAGCGCAAGAAAGTGCTTTCTTTGGAGGATTTCCACATCTTTGTTTCCAAACTAACTGCACTGGGCTTTACTCCTGTGACTTTGTGTGGGGGAGACTAAAAGACAAAGCAGGTGCTCTCAGCCTATGTGCTACTCTTATCTGACCTATGAATGTCACTTCAATGAGCAGTTGCATGCTGTCCAAATCTGCCAAGAAAGGAAAATCTCCAGGGTTAGACTTTAATCTACAAAACAAAAAATGACCAGTAATTGGTTTGTTTGTTTTTTTAAATCCCAATACAGTATTTAGCTATACAATCTTCCTATTGGAAATCAGGAGACTTTAACAGGTATATCAACTCCTTAAAAAAATTTGGGGGAGAAAGTGGATTTATCTAAACCTACTTCACATCAAACTCAGGGGTCCCCCACTTGCACATATTATTAAATAGCAAAGGAAAGAGTCCTGTTGATTGAAAGGACTTTGGCTCAGGCCTTCATTGGAGGAGGTAGTGAAAGTGATTTAATAAAACCATTTTATGCATCCGAAGAAGTGGGCTGTAGTCCACGAAAGCTTATGCTCTAATAAATTTGTTAGTCTCTAAGGTGCCACAAGTACTCCTGTTCTTCTTTTTAATAAAACCTGGTTCAACCACCCAGCCCACTTTATGCGGTTATGTGACTTCCATGCCAGCTTCTGATCCTGCTCACTCTCAACTTTCACTTTAAACAATTAACTCTAGTTCTTACGCTTTCAAAGGACTTTCAGACACATAGGCTGCCTCTAAACTAAAGCAGTGATTTCCGCCCCAGGGCATCAGACTTCCTGAAGCTATAGTTCTGTGAGGTGTGAAGTCACCTGACCCCATTACCTCACTGCGATGTCAACTTTATAGCTTCCTGATAACACTTTCAAGCTCTGACTTTTCGTCAGTGCTGTGTACCTGCTGCTCTCATTGATTTCAACTAGAATTTGGGTGCTCTGCCCCTTTGATAATCTGGCCCTTAATGTTAATTATTTCAGTGCTGATTAATTCTCCAGATGGAGTGGGGAAGAGGCACCTGCTGCAGGGGGAGAGATTCCAAGGAGAAGTGATCTAGGGAAGGGGGAAAAAGAAAGGAACAGAAGAATGGGAAGAGAAGAAAAGGGCAGAAATAGCGATGGTCAGTCATAAGCCTGAGCAGATTTTCCCACTCAGTGATGGCCAATATTTAAGTCCCTTAACATTCAGGGTCATAAGGGACAGAGGATACTAATGAAGGGTCAGATTACAATACCCTTACACTAACCAGTGCTGTACTCATCTGTCCCGTTGACTCCTGGTGCAGGGTGCTGTTCAGTGTCACAGGCTAGCCCCAGAAGCACTGCTGCTTCTCCTTTTCATACCAAAGTTGTTCTTTGGTAGAACATATGTAATACTATCGATAAACTACTGGCATCCAGTCCTGGTCAGTCTCACGTATAGGGGAAGCGAACTCATATCTGGGAGTGTTACCTTTGTAAACAAAGAACATTTATGGAGGGTGATGGGGGGGGGGTAATAACATTTTGTGGGGAAAGCAGGGGGTGGAAAGCATATTTCTCTATCTATGCTTTGCAAATCTTTTGGGAGCCTGACATGCTGTGTACTGATATCAATGTTGTATCCCTCCCTGTTCACTTGGATGTTACAGCTTTTGTTTTATGTACTTAGGACCAGATTCTGATACCTTTACTCGAGTAATAATAATGCCTAGATGGTAGATATAGTCCATAGATCTCAAAGTGAGGAAAATATCATTATCTCCATTTTCCAGGAGTTGAGAGAACAATCCACATTGAACAAAATTCAGAATGGTTCTCCCCTTAGGGCAGTGTCCAGCTAACGATGAAGAGTAAGTCACTACCAACGAGACACGTAATTGTTTATCACCAGGTCACTGGATTGAAGCCAGCCTAGCTCATTAGTGACCTCAAATGTCCTGCCCATCTGATGACTGTGCCCTGGTCGGTATGAAAGTGGGAGGTCTCAGTCCAGTGTTAAGCAGAAAGCTATCCATGGGGCAATTAGAAGCAGAGAGAGGCTAATGATGCAACAAGCAGGGCTAGCTAACTACCCACTCATCTATGAAGATGTTCTTTCCAGGTTAGGAGGCAGGCATGTGGGTAGGACAGTGTGTCTGCACAACTCTGCCCATGCTCTGCCTGTTTTGGTGACTAGGGGCTTCAGACTCGGGGACCGTCAAGTTCGTACATTTCACCAGCACTAACCCATGTTACCCTAAAAGGGGGAAAATGTCCGTTTTCATCCTAAGAGCAGAAATGCACACTAGATTCTCTCTTGAAATCTGTCTCCTTTATGGCTCTTATCACCGTAATGTCTGAGTTACCATGGATAACATCCACAGTGCCTTTTTTTAATGGATTTGGCTTCCTTTAGCACTCAGTTTCATGTTAACACAGCTGTAGGCTCATGTTTACCTGCAGGAGTCGCTTTCCTATTCTGTGCACACTTTGCAACCTGTACAGCTCTGGTGGCAGCAGGTACAGTCCCATGGAAGCCAGTGGAGCAGCTCCCTGTTACACTAATGGGCTTGGATTTGGCCCGCTCTTATGCTCAAAGGACAATTTTATATCCATCTCTCATGTTGCTCACCTCCTTTTGGCTGGGATGGAGATTCTCCTTTAGTGACTTCCTAAAGCTCCTCTTGCTATTTTATGTGAGCAGGGCTGTGTGTGTGGTGGGGGGTGGTCATCACCATGCTCAGGGAGTTATCAAATCCTTAAAGGTATGTAGGAAACTAACTCCCATTGGTTACAATTGGATGTAATTTTAACGGGAATTTGGTGCCTAAATACTGTTGAGGATCTGGGCCTATGTGCTTAAAAGCTCACCTATGGAGCTTATACTAATTAGACTTCAAACTTACCTAGCACCTCCGCACTCCAGAGCACTTTACAAACTAAACGTCGTAACGCTCCCGTGCAGCAGGTACTATTATTATCCCCATTTTACAGGTGGGGAAAGTGAGAGACGGGAGTAACTTGCTGAAGACCCCAGAGGGACTTGGTGTCAGACTAGGATCCAGGAGTCTCAGGGAGCCGGTCTGGCTTTCATTTCCGCTAGGTCACACCTCTCTCTGTCAGAATATGACCTTTTATACGTTTGTCTCATTTAGGCTGTCAGCTTCTTAAATGGCCTCATCACCAGAAATATGTTGACATATGTGATCGCACACCATTAAGCTGAGCCACTTTTTGGGTTGGGGGAAGCTTTGCCAAGGGATGTCATAGCATGTGTTTACCATTCAGCTGGCTTCCAGCTCACAGATATACTCCACGCGGAGGGTCAATGTCAAGATCAGTAAAGCCCAGGATTTGAGCTACATTTTCCTCCCTGTTTTGGTTGCCAGGTTCACGTAGCTCTACAGACACATCCTAGCGCTGGTTATCCTGCTGCCATGGAAACCTTGAGACAGGTGAGCACAGCCTGGACTCCTGGTTATAGGGAGTCGTGTGGCCTCTTGAAGGCTGTTAGCCAGGCTGCTGCAGAGCTTAGGAGCTGTGCAGAGTGCACTGAAAATGTGGGCTACGTATTGAACATGGTAACAAAGAGCTTTGGTTCCCTGGGCTCTGGATAATTGAGGCTTGTGCGTTTGTGCAGATAGTGCCTGTGTTTTGCTTCCCCACCTGGCAAAGGGGAAAATATAAAAAAGCCCCCATGCTGTGTATTTTCAGCTAAAACAAATCAGTG